GTTAGTTCAGCTCCAACTATTTTAGAAAAATCCTGTCCTGCATGCTCTTTATTTCTCAATTATCCATCACAGGATATTCCACACCTTTGTTGGAAGCTACTATCAGAAGACTTAAGAGATGGTTGATATGGGCCCGAGTGGGAATTCTCATCTTTACAACTTGCAGTGGTGAGCAAGATCCTCTGCAACCTGAATGTAAATTAATAACTGGACTAACATCAGAGAGGACTGGTGATAAAGCGTGGAGCTTCTTAACCACTACAATTACAGTTAATGAAATATCAATAGACAGAAGCAGATAGTAAAAATACAATAGTAAACTTTGAATTAACAGAGGACTTCCCAGGAAAATAGGATGGTATTAGAGCATTCTGTTGGGACAGCTTATTCCATTCATTTGTCCTCTATTTAAAGAGGTCTCCACAGATGCCCAACGTACTCTGGACAACCTTCCCCCAATTAACAGTCTTAGTTTTGTCTTTGCTGAGCTTTAGGAAGACAATACCATTTATTTAATGCAGATTAAAATACACATTGATAATGAAGAACAGATTAGTGAAGTCTTAGTTAATTACTATTTTCAGTACAGTTCACTATCAATTAATTATATTATCATGTAATAGCTAGCACATGTCTGCTCCCAATTGGTTAAATACTTCTACAGCTATACTCCTACTGAAACCCACAGCAAAATTCCCATTGCTGAAAAAAGCTTTAATGAGGCCTCTAAGACTCAGGAAAACAAGGCTAGTCGTGTGTACTTTGTGTTGCTTTGCTAGTACTGGGGGCTTTAAACAAAGTCAAGCAAAGTTGCTCTGTTGTACATTACTTGTCCTGTACTTTCCACTGTGCTATCTGCCACACAGGAGTGCACTAAAGCACGGGATTGAAGGAGTTTAGCAGCTGAATTAAGAAACTCAATTTATGCCATAACTTGGGTGTATTTTCTAGAGAAAAATCCTCAGAGCCTAGACAGTGTTTTTAACATAAGGACTCTGTGGTTTGGAAAAGTGGCAAAAAGCATGCTGCTTATCAAATACATACAACTGCAGCAGAGTAACTGAAACCCAGATACGCAAGAGACAGCCATTGCTATAAAATTTCTGTATTAAAATTGTGGAAAAATAAGAATAAACATTCTTCCATAATACCAATATGCTGGGATTTAATGGTTAGCTTTACCCCAGAACTTTACACTATTACACAAAATAACACCACATCACAGCTACTCAAGACATTGCTTAGAAGAATGTATCATAGCTTTGGGTTTTATTTAGTTTCTCATCCTTTTTAGTCTGTAAATGCCTAAAGACAAGATCTTCTATACAAATGTGGCTCTTCAGATATGCAAGTCTTGAATTAATGTCTATACACTTACAGTTTTCCTTCCCCTTCATAACATCCACCTGCATTTTAAATAAATTGCTAATCCCTTCTTCAAGCATTTGAAGACACTGGAAGTATTTCCTCAGTATGTGTCTTTCAAGAAATAATACCAAGATGCTGACATTATAACACTGTGGAGAATCCAAGAGTTTCAGCACACGCACAGAGTCTTAAGTCATGCTCCAGAGATTCTTGAGGCTGTACTTGGGGTGCATACAACCTTGGGAGAGAGTCAAGGTTCATTTCTTGATGCAGCCTCCTCCAGTAACTAGTGTACAACCTAAAATACCTATTTCATTGCTTTGTTAGACTCACAAAGCTTATTCTCTGCGTCACTGCCCTCTGTCTCACTACTAACACAAGTGAGACACATCAGCACAGAATGCCTCATTAGCCAGAACCTGTGATTTACAGAACATTAATGTTCTCTGACCACTCTGTGCTCAAGCGTACATTTAGTTTACTGGATGGAGCAGTTGGTCCAGGGATGAGGACAATTTAAATCAAGACAGACAGACCCATTCTGAAGAAACGGAAGTTCCAGAACACAATTCTCAATGTTGTACAGGGGAGCTTTCGTGCTTTGAGTTTACACACTGTCCTTGTACAGAAGTTTCAGAGTCCTATTTGTTCTTCAGTGTAATTTCAGAGCACTGTTCTACCCATCAAAATAATGTATGTCCCAACTTAAGAGTCTTGTCCATAAAGATAAGCAAGAATTTTTTTTAAAAATAATTTCATTCTACATTACTAAAGCTAGCAGATTGCTCCTTTAGGTTGTTACCATGTCACATTTTATTTTAATTTCATATTTTTATTTAAAACAATTAAAATAATATTTGCATTCTTAGTAAGTTAGTGAAAAGCAAATTACTCTCAGGTAAATAAAATTTTCTTAAATAAATTTATCTATCCATAAAGTAAAAATTTCAATTTATCTGTTGAATGATTACACAATACTCCACATAACCAAGATGTGGCAAATTTTTCCTCTTTCTCCTCCTTAAAAAGATTGAATTCTTTTTTTTGCACAAGATACTAAAAGTATCCAATTTCAAGTTTTCCTATTCCAAACTTCCACATTCAAAATGTTTCTCCTTTTGCTTGACATTAAGCTCCTGGCTTCACAATTAAAACACATCAAATAGATCTCAGGGTGTCACCAAAATGTGTGATGATACTATGATGCATGTTTAAAATTAGGCAGCCATGTAATCTGATTAAAGTCAGTTTCTGCAAAGCCAAACACCTAAGCCAAAGGTTTTAGTTTATATTTTTTCTTTGCTCAAGTGCATTCATAGCCATTTCTCTAAAATGTTGAATCATCTGCATCCCGTTTAAAAAATACAATTCCAAGATACTAAGTGTGCTGTACAAATATTAAGAGTACCACAGACAGATGCAGCACAGATTAGTTGTTCATGGTGTGCCTCTCTTCCTAAAACACCAAAAACATCTTAATAGCCCAATGCAGAGAACTTGAACTGTAGTTGAATTATACTGAACTACTGAATTAAGTTAAAAGTAGCAATCCTCTTGTTTAGCACAATGGTTGTACAGAAACTTTGTACAGAAACTTTGTACAGGAACTTGAATTTGGTACTCTAGCAAAATCCTGCTGACTTGGTAAGAGTTTTATGCAAGCACTTCAAACACTTCTGAATTAGTAAGTGTTAGTAAGGCCTGCAAGCATTTGCAAAACTGGGGTCTGAGAATTTGGCCCTTTATTTATCTATTTACAGTAAAAGAAAAGGAAATACTAGTTTATGCTGCATTTGTTGAATTCCTAAATCAATTTAGATAATTTATTTGCAGTATTTCTGAGGGTCTGCAGTTTTTCAATCATCCCATATCTGACCAACATTTGTAATGCCTTTCATTCCTGCAGTAAATTTTAGGTATAGGATATAAAAGTAGTTTTTGTTGAAACAGCTTACAGAAAGCATAATCATACTTCATGCTCTGAAGCATACAATAATGACTGGTAAAATTATCAAGGACCCTAATTATTGCATTAGTTCTATACAAAATGCAAACTCTTTTGAAATACAATATAGGAGCAACATATTTGGGTTTTTTTTTGTTGTTGTTTTCCAACATCAGCAGAACTATGCATCTAACAGATTAATAACTGAAAAACAGAAAAAAAATCAAATAACATAAAAAAAACTCCCATGCAATAATTCCATTGAACACAACACTCTGGATTATTAAAATGAGCTAGGTAGACTAACCATAATTTAAAAAAACTCCTGCTAAACAAAAACAATTTGACACAAAGACCAGCTGACTTTTAATTATATTTTAATTAAAACCCATTTATCTAAATGAAAATCCCACTATTAACACATGAACTACGCTCACCATGGAGGCTGGGCAAACTCCAAGTATGTTTTGAAATGCTGAAATATTAAAAATATGAATTTTTTTTTTTTTTTTTAAGATTACAAGAACTGAACTAAACCAATATATTTCAGATTTGGCAGGGGAGAGGAAGAGGTTGATAACATACTAAGTAATTCAGTACCTTAATCCATATGACCTTAGTCTGCCTGCAGTTAAATTAGTCTATACCACCTGAATAATTTTACAGTGGAAAAAACATAATGTATAGCTCATTACTTTCCTAATTATTTCCTCTTCCTTCGGGACAAATAAAAAGGCATCTTTGCAGTTCATCTCTGAATATGGCTGTGCATAATACTACTTCAAAAAGCATTACCACAGATCTGCTGAATACAGTGATCAGTGTCTTCACCTATAGATACACTACAGCATCTGACGTTGTTTTGACAACATATAATCTATTTTTTACACTCTAATAAAAGAATCTGCAACAAAAATACCATTAATTTATATTACAAGACACTGTAGTATAAATTTATAGCATTTCTCAACTCTGTAGGTAAGTTGGTATAATATATAAATATCAAAAACAAAGCCCCTAAATCAAAACAGTAACCTAAAAAGAACCAAAACAGATTTTTAGAAGGCTGCAAAGTGCTATGAAAATATTAAAAACAAAACTCAACTGTTGCCCCAAAATTTCTTGCTGTGAGTTCTGTTTTTTCACATCTTATCCTGAAGGGCAGACAATGCTAAATTTATGACAGCACAATTTCTCAGATATTTATCATAGGTTCCTCTCACTCGTATTAAATCCCCCACTGTTTCTCTACATGGCCTATTCCAGAAAGACATAAAAAAGTAAAAATTAAAAAATATGTGTTTTTTTCCCTACCTGTATATATTCCTACCAGTTTTATTTACAACGCCTTGAGAGAGAAAGACGTTATGGTACATTTACACCAAACTATCCGACATCAATCTCAGCTGTTTACTAAGACTACAAGTACTAAAAAAAAGTTATACAAACTTTCACAATTACACACTAATTTTTAGAACCATCACACAATGAGAAAAAAGTTATCAACTTTATAAATACAGAAAAAATTACATAGTTTTAAGAACAACAAAGTAACTAAAAATATATATTTTACCGTACCTCCTTTAATTTTTTTTTTTCCCAGAGAGTTGATCTTTACAGGTTATTAAAAAAAATTAAATTCTTCAGCCACGAGCCTTTGTATTTTATTTTTATTTAAAATAAAAATTCACATAAATGATAAAATATTTTGTTTTGGCCATTTGGCTCCCTCCTCCAAATTGACACTTTATAAAAACCTTCTGTACTTTTTTTCCCCCTCCCTCTCTCCCTCTCTACTACCTCCAAGATGGTAGGAAAGTTGTTGTTTTGGAGGGCAGAGGAGCCGATCTCTGATGTTATGTCCTCTCGGTGCCTGTAGTGGTGCTATAGGAGGCTGCTGGCTCTCTTCTTGAGCAGCCCCAGCAGCCCTGCCTTCTTTGCTGGAGAATATATTCAGGGATTCCCCTTAATAATCACCTACCCTCTGAGCACTTTGTAGTTTTAAAATAATAAAGAGCCCCCAAAGCTTCCTCCCCACAAAAAGCAGGATCTTCTCAGAGACAGGGGGGCAGCAGCTCCTCAGCACAGAGCCCGAGCACATTCCCAGTCCCTCTGCTGGGGAGGAAACTCTGATCTGTCAGCCCAACAGAGGGAAAGGGGGGAGAGGAGAGAGAGGAGGGAAAAAAAAGCAGCTGGAAAGGTAAGCCAGGCCCGGCCTGCATCCCCGGGCTCGCGTAGCGCGGCAGGCGGTGCGGAGGGTGCAGGGTGGGCGGGGAGGCGGGCTACGCGAGGCCGGGGATCGGCCGGAGCGGCGTAGGCCGCAGTAGGGGGTGCGGGGAGCCAGGGGGGTTTTTGAAGCTTTTGGGCGCCGGGAGGAGTGCCGGAGGGGGGTGAGACGGCTGCCGGGGCCCAGCGGGAGGGTCGGGGCGCGGCGCCTTTGCCCGGGAGGTGAAGGGCGGTGGGGGAGAACGGGGGCGGGGGGGCGCTAGGCCTCGGCGCGGCGCGGCCCGGCCGCTCCGCTCCCCGCCCCGCCGGGCCCCCCGCGCCGGGCCCGGGGCCCAGAGCGGGGCTCGCCCCGCCGCCACCAGGGCCGGGCGGCTGGGGGGAGGCGGTGGGGGGGGCGG